TCTCTGAGAGGGTTTGGACCGTGCTCGGGATGTGACTGCAGCTGATGTAGACAAACCTGAGCTAGTTTTAACAAGGCGGCTCAAGTACAGCTTGCAGGCTGGCAAACTAGCACAATGCTAATCCTCAAGTATTCATCCATATCCCAGGGCCGGGGGCTGCACCCTAGGTTGATCTCTGTTAGACTGTTACCAGGGCCTGAGTATAGTAGTTTAAGACTAGCTTGGGTAGGCCAAGAAGTGATCGCACCTTTCGCTTTCAGTACGCTAAGTGATTGTCTCCTGAGGTAGAGCAAATTATGCACTACTCCTACTTTAGGGCTGTGCTTAAAATTACATGTTTTGTGCATTGAGGAGCACTAAAACCAAGAAGAAAAATATAAGGGAATGCATTCAGTACAGGTCTAAATGGGACAGTAGGAGTCAAGAACCTGGAAATAAATTAAAGTAACCATTCAGAATAGGTAGTGGGGCCCAGCTTAACTGCCCTCTTTCTCCTTCCTTCCTCTTAGGTTTGCTTTCTTTTACTTTTATTTCATTCCACCTGTTTCAACACCACTGGCAGCTCAGCAAAACGTAGCAGCCTAAAACATCCTTCCTCCCCTCCTCACAATTATTTATAACATTATATGAAGGTGTTTCAGAAAGTAACAGCAATTTTAAAATAAAACCATTTCTTGTGCAGTAAGTGAGAAACTACACCTCAGCGGGGGATGCTGATGGAGGCATTGTCGAACATACCCGTTTTTTACAGCTATGTAGAGAAGTGATGTGGTCTAGGAAACAGTCTGGCTCACGGATTGGTTTTATTCCCAAATTGCTATTATTTTCTGATACACCTTTGTAAAATTGTGCAATAAGCTTGAAATCCTTCCAGGTTTAACCCTCCCCTGCCTCCCCCCATTCATGGGCTGAAGGAGAAATTCAAGGTTTGGCTATATGGGATTGACTTTGTTTTGTTCAGAAAAAAACAAGCGACTGTACACACATTGGTTTGACTCATGTACCTGCACTTTTCAAGGTCCTTTATCCTTTGATCCCTAATAGAAATCTCAATTCTGCTGGATCATTGTGAGTGTAGTTATTAGCATGGTGCTAAGTTAAAGCCAAATACAAGCATTAAGATATTGGATCCATTTTTCAAAAGATGAAGGACCTGATCCCATGTCTACTTGAAGAGCAGAAACTTAGCAAGCACCATCTCAGGCCCTGGGGGGATGCCCTTATCCATGGAGCAGCACAGACTTCACCACACGCCCTTGGCAGTGTCCTCTATCACCAGGCTGAATGCAGAATAAGGAGAGGGGAAAGTGGTTCTGTTTTCAGGGCCTTGGTTTCTATTGCAAATAGCAGTAAATGCAGTAAGACCAGGTACAGACATTATACTTTTTCCAGCATAAGTGATCAGAAACTGGTCTGTACCCATAACAGAGCAGAAGTTCAGCACATGCAGACTGGTTTAAAAATGGTGGTACCTGATCTAAGATTTGCACCATCCCACCCCACAAAGGGCAAACGTGTTCTGTTTGCTACCGATCTAAACTAAGCCGCTTACAGAAAACCACATAACTTCTCTCGATTCCAACGCAGGCTTTTTGAATGTCTGTACCTAGCCTAAATGGAAGGTAGACATCTCCCCATGAAGACTTGAACTCTCAAGTCAATTCACCTACACTGGGGACCTTCAAGAAAATTGTTCCCCATGTCATTCATTACCAATCCCCCAGCTGTTCAGCTTCCTCAGACTTTTAGAGTTTGAAACTCCTGGTCCTTGGTTCATTTTAAAAATAGCACTGGAATTTCTGCTCCCCTCGGGTCAGATTTGTCACCTGTTATGAGTAAGAGGGAGCCCACAGTTGGGCTAGCCCTCGAAAGAAAAGCCCAGGGAAGGAATTATGACTCAGAGTCACATTTCTTCTGAGTCACATTTCTTCCACCGTTCCTCCTATGCACCTGGTAAAAAGCAGTTAGCTTCACCCTTTACCTATGGTATAACATGCTTTCCCCCTTGCATCAGCTGCCTGGCATGCCATGGCTTAAGAGCTACGGCTCTGCTCATTCCCCCCTTTCCCAGCTGTAGGTGGCCTTTGAACCCTGTTTTGCTCATGTGGGTGCACTGGACCAAGGAATGCTTTTGGCTCTCTCTTGGGTGACTGCAGTGCTTAAAGGGTGTTGTTTTACACATTTGTTGTTATCTTTAGCAGTGTGGAAAGTTGGCAGCCTGCTAGCATTGGCACAAGCATTTGAAATGACAGCAAACATCAGGATCAGTGCACGTGATGTATTATTAGGGTTTTTTGGTTTTTGATTAACACCAATCAAGCCTAAGCAAAACAAAACAGAGGAGTGGGATTTTATATAATATATGCCACAAACACCCAAATTGGCATATTTTTGTCCATGAAATAGGTCAGTGTTTTCTGATGCACAGGGAGCTCGCCCCACAGTGAAGTGGGAAAAGGGGGACTTTTTAGCTTTTTTTTTTTTGTAATTACTTTTATGAGAATCGTAGAGTAATGATTCTCAGGAGTCATTTTAGTCTAACCTCCTGTTCAAAGAGAATCAACCTGATCTAAGCCACTCCCGCCAAATAGTTGTCTAGTTGGCACTTTGCAACTTCCAGTGATGGAGATCCCACAACTGCTCGAGTTAATCTGCCCAAGGGTTTTATTACCCTGAGAGTCAGAAAGTTTTTCCTAATATCTAACCTAAATTTCTCTTGTTGCAACATAAGCACCTTCTATCTGGTCCTGCCTCCGGCAAACATAGCACGAGCTATAAGCTGGTTGAAAACAAACTTCTGATGCTGAACATCCCCATTCCTGCGCAGCAAACGCAGGAAT